TTTTGTATGAGTCCGTGGAATGAAAGTATCTTGGGGGTTAAGAGACTAGGGGGGGGTTTTGCTCCCCGCCAACGGGGCCATGAGGGGGTGTGGGGGTTTTGGCCCTTGCCGGTGGGGGGGGATTAAGGGGAGGGGCCTGAGGGGCCTTGGGGGGGGGGGGGGGACCATATTTTTAGGCAAAAGGGAGGTCTGTGGGGCCAAGAAAAAATATTTTTGAGGCCAGTCTTATCTCTTAATTCAGGGACTTGATGAATGGGGTCCCCACTTTCTTTGGGATCTGAAATCCGCCACTGATCAGAGTATGCTTTCTGACTTAGTTCAGATCAATAAGCATGCAAATGGCTGCTTCACCTTAAGGCAGTGCCATACTGTAGTGTGGCAAGGTTTAAGAGAGGGCCACAGAGCCACTAAAAGGCCCCGTTAGCGTAACATTTTGACAAGTAACCTGGTCTTGAACCAGCAACATAAGACTACCATCGGTTGCATCTACGCATGTACATTTGAGGAAATTACATGTTCTCATTGGGTGCAAACATGAAATGTTTTGCCGCCAAACATTTGAAGTTTGGAATACATGGCTGTTGTCGACTTGATTTGTTTTTGTACAACAAAATATTCTTTGCAAGAATTTTTAGACGTTAACAATAATTTCTGGAGACAAGTGTGCTGTTACTAAGCGTGAAATAAGCCTGAAAGTTGAAAAAAATATATGAGCAGAATGTGCTAATCAAAACCTATAAATAAATTACCCTTAATTGGTGCAACAGCTGTTTGCTTTAACAGCTGTCAAACTTCAAATGTTTGGTGGCAAAACATGTCATGTCTGGCACTCTATTAGAACATGTTTTTTTGTCGTGTCCACACTTAGATGGAACCAACAGTAGATGGAATGGCAACAAACAATATAAACATGGGTCAAATACCGACATACCCTGCCAGCAGAGTCGCTTCGATTTTTTCTAGATAAGTCAGGAAAGAAAGGAAGGCGCCTTCCTCTTTCCCGACTTATCTAGGAAAGATCAAAGCGACTCTGTTAGCAGGGTAATATCAACAGGGACATGGCACACTCCTCACAACACGAAACAAACATATTTGAAATTTGGACTAAGGACATACATCCCCTCCCCCTAAGAGGACCTCACTAAAATTTAGGCCTGGTCATCATAATTTTTATATGACAAAAGCAACCACTACAATGGATGTGAAACCATCGGTAAATAACTCATTTAATCAATAAATTTAGACATAACAGTACAGTCTCTCAGAATATTCTTCTCATTACTTTGTGGATATACATGTACTGAAATCTTGAGATTTTTCCTACAGCAGCTTTAACAGTGTTTTACCATTTTTATAGCAGTGCTAACTATTTTCTTATGAATTGTTACTTCTTTTTGCTACTCTCATTAACGTACTCTCATTAACATTAAACGTCCCATGGTGGTCAACATCAATTTTCTTTTAACACTGTAAAGACATGGTCAAGAGAACAGGTCATGTGAATTAATAACGTGATCACCTAAAGGAAAATGTTTTGATCTTAAACAAATTCTCTTTACAAATTCTTTAAAGGAAATGTATGGAGATCTGTTAGGAGAATTTGTATGGGGATATTGGAGCTTAGAGGATTAAATGCTTTACACTAGCAGATACCGTAAAAATTCCAAAAATAAGCCCGGGGCTTATATTTTTCAAACGCCCTTTTTGAGGGGCTTATTTTTGGAGGGGCTTATCTATGGAGGGAAAATTTGCGTTTTAAAATTGATTGAGCTAGTTTGTAGTGGGAAGGAAATTCACCATTTTTGCTTTGTTTTACTTTGTATTTGAGGGCAAATTCCAAGTACAAGTCCCCCCGGGGACTTATATTCGGAGAGGCGATTTAAAGGAGGGTTTTTTGCCGCATGATTTTGGGGGGCTTAAAATATGGAGGGGTTTATACATGGAGGGGCTTATTTTCGGAATTTTACGGTACTTCAAAATGTGAAGATGGCTATATATTTGTGAAAAGGGGTCAATTGATGTACGTTATTAGTCTCCTTCGTGGGGAGGAGCGTTGCGTGATGACCCTATTAAAAACAGCTGTGAGGAAAAACAACTGGAAGGAAAAACATTGTAGCATAATAAGACATATTTGTTGACTACCAACATCAAAATCTAATGTAGATTCAGATGTTAAAGGAAATCGAAAACTAGTACCCTATGTAATACCAGTTCCTAACAGGAAAAAAATCCAATAAATTAAATAATTAAATAGTAAATTTAGAATATAAAACTTTAATAATATTACTATAGGTATTTAGTGAACTACACCATAAAAAATCTTTAACTGCACAAAAACACTAAAAAATAATGAATATGATTTATAGGAAACTGTGACAATGTATATAGCTCTAAACAAGGAGGTTTAGCAACAATTATTACCATGGCTATGGAAGTGAAAACACCACTTTCAAATCATTTACATAAAATGAATTTGGAGTTTTTAAGACATTCTCATTGTTGCCATCATTTTTCTCAAACTTCCTAAATTATGTAAGGAGCCTGCAATATTTCCCAGAACCCTCACATAAAGAACAAAAAAAATAGATTATAACAGGTGAATATAGTATTCTTTTAAATAGCATTCAAATTTGTGATAATCCATATTTTCAATCATGCACAACCAAACTGAACTTGCTTAGATAATGGATGGGAGAATAAGCTGTGATTACACTCGGTATAATATGATGTTAAGAGCTTGTGTCATTGACTTATGAGTACAGCTCGTTACATGCATGCCTACTGTCAAACTCAGAAAACTGTGAACACCTGAAATATTACAGGAATGTTGATTGGTATTGACTTATCACAGTAAAGATCAGTACATGTAAGCAAACCTCAAAACCACAAGCTAAATAAAGATGCTTTTTGGGGTCAAGTTCTCTCATACCTTTTTAGCTTTTTCCTTTTCAATCTCATTAATACTTCATGAAGAATACAAAGGAAATAAATGTTTAATGAATGTTTGGAAATCACACAAAAAACTGCTCATTTTTGCATCCTTAATTTCTCCTTCTAAAGTTGTTTTGTTTAAGTAGTAATATCAAGCATTTAACACATTGTTTCATCACCAGATGAAATACCTCGAAGTTCTTGCCTTGTTGTGCATCGTATTTTCAACTCTCTTCTCGGTGTTTCACCTGGTGATGAAACACTACGTCCAATGCTTGATACTTGATACTTCCAACAACACAATACATAAAATAATATTTCTAGTGTTCACAATATGTGAATTTGACAGTAAAAAAACACACAAGCAACAAAAAAGGTATTTTGGGGCCATAAATGTGCTAAACACTGGAAATACATGATTATGTCGGATTATAACTAAGACAATATTGAACTATACATTGATTCAAAACCTTCTACCATTGATATCAGCAAGCCCTTACTTGAAAAACAGAAGTGGAGCATCACTTCAAAGCAAGGTGCAGAATTGGTGACTCTTTGTCTCTTGTGATTCTCCATAGGAAAAAATGGGTTCAAAATAAAGAGACTTTTGAGACCAACGATAAAAATAGTATGATGTATATGCTATTCCAAAGAAAAAGACCAGGAAAATAAGTTAAGAAATTCTTGACAAAATTGAGAAGTCAGACAAAGTAAGAGGCCAGTTGAGACATCTTGTCCTTTGGCCGTCCTCTACCCTTGCCTCTTCTGCCACCCCTGCCACGACGCCCACCCCTACCCCTCCCTCCTCGGTACATAGGGTGCTTTGAAGCAGCATGTGACATCTTGACCAGAGGGGAGAGAACTGGATCACAGAAGAGACAGCCTTGATGCTGAGTTTTATCCCCAGCCAAAGGTGACTTGGAACGATTGAAATCAACATTCAGAAGAGTTGTTCCGCAGTCACACTCTTGATCAGTGGCACTCACACGGAATGCGTCTTCAAAAACATGAATGACAAGATTACACTTGTTACAGGCCAATTTCCACTTGGGAGCAGATGTAGCATCAAGAACAAGGCTTCCACTGTCACATTCTGTGCAATCGGCAATTCCAAGATTGGCCTCAGAATGGGCACATGTCGGGTGTGTACATTGATTACAGCCCATGCCTTTCCTCATATCAGGAAAGGGTGGATGATTGTAACAGTAAGGACAAACTGGAGTACTCTTTCCTTTACCCCCAGTGGACCATACCACCAACTCAAACTCATCCAAGGGACATCTAAGTTCTTTAAAAAGTTTGATGCTACCATTTTGAGGAAGACTGTAAGTCTCGTCACACTGAGCGCAGTGTAGCCGAGTTGGCTTGGCATTGATTAACTTCATGTACCGGTTGCATTTGCCGCATCTGGACAGAGGTTTCCCTGTATCTTTCAGTGGAGTGAAGGAAACTTCAAAGAGCTCATCCATGCTGGTCACAGTTTGCACAAAGTAAACAAACTTTCTAGTGAAGATGCTCAGAGCATGCTGCAAAACAGAGTCAAAGTCCACCTTACCCTGCGCAATTAGGTTCAGCTGTTGCTCAACGGCTGAGCGCATTGTTGGAAGAACAAGTTGAGAATCAATTTTCTGGTAACCATGTACCAGTACAATTCCCAAAGGGGTGGGCTGAAGACGTCTACCGCTCAACACACGAACATAGTTCCTCTCACAAACATTGTTGATATGAACAGGAATGCTTGCATCCGTGCCAATTCCATGTTTCTCCATCAATGAAATCAGCTCACTCTCCGTAAGGTAATCAGGAGGAGATGTCAGACGTTCCTCAAGCTTCACTTCTACAATTTCATACACATCATCCTTGTGACACTGTGGCATGCGCTCATCACTGGAAATGGCTTGCCAATGCATGACGGAAGTGAAGCCAGGGCTGGTCACAGTCTTCCCACTGAATGAAAAAGTTTCAAGATCAACAGCAAATTTCACGGTTGTTTGTAAATATTTGCAGTCATAGCTGATGCTGGCAATGAAGGTTCTCGTGATAAATTCATACAGCCTCCATGAATCCCCTCCCAACTCCGCCTCACTTGCTGGTTTCATAGGGGTTATGGGCGGATGGTCCCCTGCGTCATGCCCCTTTCTTGGCTTGTTGATCCCCACGTCGAGAAGCTCACGTACCAGTGATCCCCAAACAGAATTTGATTGTTGCTGTCTAAGAGTTCCCTTGAGATCAAAATTCTCCGGATAATGAGTGGTTTCAGTTCTTGGGTAGCTTATGTATCCCTGAGTATAAAGCCTCTCTGCTATCTGCATGCAGTGCTGTGGTCCCATGTTAAGTCCTGAAGAAGCCATACGAAGCATTTCCACAGTGTTTAGTGCGATAGGTCTCTGCTTTGCTTTTTCCTTTTTTGAAACACCAATCACAGCTGCAGATTTTGAAGATTGGACAGCTCTCTGAAACATAGAGGCCACCTCCTTGTCAAACAGTCTCACTCTATCCCACTCAAGATGCATTGTTTGACCACTTGGGTGCCGCACCTGTGGCTTCAAAGCCCAGTATGTTTCAGGCTTGAATGACTGTATCTGGTCGTGCCGCTCAACACAGAAACCAAGAGTAGGAGTTTGGCAAGGGCCATACGATATCAACGCACTATCCAGGTCACCATATTTGCCTTGGAAGTACTTAGTCTGAAATCGTGTGAAAGCACAACCAATTCTCAGGTCCAGCTCCTGCCTAGCATCTACAGACCTTGCTTCATTTCTGTTGGGCTCACTCAGGCGATGCATAGCACTACAAATATCAGTTTCAGTAATTGCAGAAAACTTTGCACGGTAGACAGTTTTAGATCCTGATCGTTTGTTCATGACTGGCTTGACACAATCAAGCACTTCAAAACAGATGTTTTCCCCTTCTTTGTCACAATCCAACCACAAAACGATGTAATCTACCCCTTTCCCCTCGTGCTGTAAAAACCTCGGAATTTGTAGTTTTTCGTTGGCTTCCTTCTTCAACGTGGTAGCTGTAAACAGCTCCTGGGGATTTACAGCATCCCAGTTGTTGAACTTGTGATGAAAATCCAAGGTCATTACGTGGCCGCAGACAGAGGTCATTTTAAATCTTGCCGGTTCTTTGTTAAACTGTCCATTGTACTCGTGTACTGAACAAACACCATTAAGGCCTTTCCTTGTGGACATCTGCCCCTTGGAGAGGAACTTGGCGATTGATTGCGCTAAAGAGGGCTTCTCTGCTACCATCAGCACCGTCTTCATGTTTGATGGGCGATGTTTCTGGGCCCTAAATGAAGCCTCAATGCATTCAACCGCGAGGAAATTTTTCACATTCCTCCACGTGGCAAAGAAGACAGCTTCTGCAGCGGTTGTTTGTTCAACTGATATGCGCTTTCAAGTGAGCCTGTAGTTTGTACCAGATAGTGGTATTCCTCGAAAAATTATGCTCAATTTTCTTTACGAGCCCTTAGTATAATTTTGTCAGAGGTAGTTCGTGAAGATTATGCTCAATACAGTGCCTTGAACCCAGGTATCTTGGAATGCGCGCGGTCATTCAAAATAGCGACAAAACAAACGCTGAGCGATCAGATCAGCCGAAAGTTAATCTTTTGTCGTATCCAGCCACTATGAATACATTAATATCATAAATCTGGTATGTTGCTGTAAATTATAACAGCTTGAAATATGGCAGAACATGAGAATACCACAGGTAGAGACCCAGCTCAGCGTCAAAGACGACGCAAGAAACGAATGTCAAGGGAATTTCCAGAGGACCACACAAATGAGAGCGTAGAGTCGCCAAGTTCCGTACCAGAAAGAATTCCTTTGCAAGAGATTGTAGATGGAGAAAAAGTCAGTGTTCCCCGTAGTGCATCTAATAATTCAGGTGATCAGGAAGGCATTCAACAATCTTCTGTTGACAGGAGAAACCGCTCGAGAAGAACAAGAAGGAGATCAAGNAAAAGTGGCGGGAGGAGGAGTGCGTTGTTAACATTAGAGAATTCTCCGTTGTCCCCACTCGCGGGGGGGTTGGGGGGCTGGGGGATTTTTTTTCCCACCCCCCCCCCCCCCCCCATGAATGAGTATCCTCGGCAGACAAGTAGTAGGAATCCGTTTTCAAAGGGACCGACAAAAAATGAGGGGGGTAGGAAACGTTTTTTTGAAAGGGTTCTGACAAAAAAGTGAGGTGGTAGGAATCTGCTCATCCAACAGGGGGGTTCGGAAAAAAATGGAATGGTCACGTCCCAGTGTTCATGTACATCTATGTGTGGGAAGGTAGCTAGTACCAACTATTGTGTTTCTTGAAAGCCATCTTTGATACCAGTTTCAGGCTTTCACAGCCAATTTTCGCTTTGATCTTTTATCAAATTTCCTCACCTAATTCTTCAAAGAAATGTATTGAGATCAGTCTGGAGAATTTGTTGGTGGATATGGGAAGAATGGCAACCTTAAGGCCGATTTCGATGGTATGATTTTTGCTTACAACCATCGTGCTCGACTAGCATACATCAGGACTTTCAACCATCCACACGTGCCAATTTTTGCTTAGGACATCCACAATGTGTCATTCAAATGTTGTGGGTCTAATTTACTCAACATGATCTGTCCTGAAGTCGTGATGCATGCTAGTCATGTACCATAGTTGTAAGCAAAAATCCTACTATCTAAATTAGCTTTTAGGGATAAGGTTACAATGTCAAGAACTCACAAATAAGAAAGATGCATATGTTACCTTTTGTAGGAGATGCACTGTATGATGAAATGGAATCAAGTACTCTTGACATGCCTGACAAGAAAAAATATAAGCGTCCTCCCTCTGGGGTGCGACAGACCAGGCGGTCAGCTAGTGCTGAAATGATTGACAGAGATGAGGATGAAGGAATGGCAGATAATGAAAACATGAGTCCAGCAAGGAGAAGACCAAGAAGAAAAAGGAATCAAGGTTAGTACTAACAATCTGTTTTTATCATAATATCTGCAGTAGCTTCTGCTGTTTGCAGAGATGGGTAAGATGTTATCAGTTTTTCTTCAAGGACTCAAGTTTTTTTATTCATTTGACAAGGAAGTCATCAACTCTCGATCCGACTCCTCATTTAAAAAAAATTTAGTGATTAAATTAATAAGTAAATATGAAAACTGATCTTAAATCCTCCTTTAACTTCATGCCATCTTTTGCTTCACTTGATGAAAACAGCTATAGTCGGTTGTTCATGGAGGCCTAACCTCTCATAAGCTCCTATAGTTTCTGTTAGGTCTCCTCACCAATTATCCATTATTATGTGGCAAATAAAATAATATAATTATTAATTTAAAAAAAAAATAGTATTATTGCCAAGACTTAAGACAGAGTTGACCAAGCCCAGTTAGCTGCTATCTTAGGTTAGCTGTAAACAGAGTATATGAGTTGCCATGGTAACTAACCTTAGACACTGCTCCAAACTGCAATAATTTTTGTTGCCATGGCAAGTAGAAAAAAATTGTGAGACAGAAATTGCAGTGAAAGAGTCGCCAGTTTGGTGACCTGTGTTCGACAATCACGTACCGAGCCATGTGTTGTTTTTATTAGTTGTGTTTATGGTTTTTCTAAAGCTAAAGTGAGATAAACATTTGGATAGAATGTTATATATGCTCCATTTTTTATATACATACGGTAAATCCTCTATTAAGCCCCCCAGGGGGCTTATTTATTTCAATTACATTTGAGGGGCGGCTTAATAGAGACGGGGCCTTATTTTTCTATTTAACTTAGCACTGCAGACGAAGGTACCAGTTCTCCGTAAAAAAAAACTAGAATGCAAAGTGGAAAAGCACAAGTACAATGGTTTGAGGTCATGTAGCTGAGAAAGAAAAACAAATCTGTACTTCCAGCTGGTGAATAAACCATCCTGGAACAGTCCACACAAAGTTCTACAGTCGTAATTGATCACTACAGTCTATCATTTATTAGTGAAGAATAATAAGGGGAGGGGAGAGGGGGCTTATTAACTTTGTTCCCCTGGAAAGGTAGGGCTTATTAGAGAGAGGGGGCTTAATAGAGGATTTGCAGTAATTCGTCCCTTTTACCCTGATTGTCTGGGTTGAAAGGATGGGTGGTCATAGACATGTCCTTGTCTGGGTGTTATGGATATAATATTACTACACAGTGCTGGTCATGACAATTTTCTTGGGATGTTCCTTTAAGAGGCATGAAACTTTATAGGCCAAGTCTTTCTATCATAATGAAAAAAAATCTGATAGGCCATAAGTAAGTGACACGAGAGTCCCTATGGGTGGTTTTTACTGATTTTACCCTTCAGTTTTTGAAAGTTTTATTGAGTATTTTATTTTAATATTTTTAAGGTTCTAGAGATGTTATCAATGGCGAGGAGTATAGTCCAGAGTATGAAGGATATGATGGCCCTAGAGATCCAAATAAATTGAGATCCAAAAAGCATAAAACAAAGAAAAGGTATTTATAAAATGTAAATGTAAATGATAAACATTTTTTAACATATTCAATAATAGTAAGATCTACAGAATCTTATTAAACAGTTTGATCCTTGCATTCATTACATTTTAATTTTAAATCTGTTTACTAACAGTTCATCCTTCAGATGACAAAAGGTGCATGTAAAATTTAAACTGTTGTTACTATTCTATGCTACCCATATCATTGTATTGTTTCAGTGCTACTTAAATGTGTAGCATATTATGATGAAGAAATGAAATTTGTTGTATTCAAGAGTATGTTTCAAATATGTATAATGTTATAAAGTACATGTAATTACTTTGGTCGATAACAAGGGAGTTTTTTCATTTCCCATGGTAGACAGCACAACGGAACATCTGCTGAAGAGGACAACTACAATGCTGACGTTGATGGAGAAGGTGATTCTAGGCCAAGATAAGATAACATATACAGCTAATGCTCTCAAGAGTGACCAAAATTAAGTTTTTCCTAAAAATAGCAATAGATAATCCAGAGAAAGTTTATGAGAAGGGAAAATACTTTGATCTTTTGTCAAAGTTTCTCAATTAAAATTTTCTGTAATGAAATGTATGGAGACTAGTCTGGAGAATTTGTATGTGGATCTTGGGGCTTAGAGGGTGAAAAAAACTTTTTCTTCTTTTCTGCTTAAAATGAGGGTGTCTGCTCAAAGTAGTTTTGACTGTACCTGTGTGGTGGTACTCAATGTTTTATATGGGGAGGCCCCGCCCCGTGGTCCAACCCCTAATACCCATTTATATACCATTTTTTGACAGAAAAGGTTACCCCTTTTCATACACCTTCCATTGGCAAATGGTGTCCCTTTCACATACCTCGTTTAGAACTTTGCATCCCTTTCAACTGCTGTAAATGCACTCATTGTACAATCTTCTCAGCTATAAAATGCATATCTGTTAGCCCTCTTGAGCCTTTCTAGCGACCAAAATGACAGATTTCACTACCCTTTCTTATACTTGTACAAGTGAAATCCCAATCCTTCCATATGCCTGAAGCCTGAAAAAGGTAAACCCCCTTTGGGCGGAGCTTCCCCATATAGGCCATTATAGGGAGTACTCCCCTCTCCCCTATTATTGTACTTTTTCCTTTTATGGCACTGATTCTGTGTTTTGTTAGCTTCAACAGTTGATTACTACAGAGTTGATAAAGAAGACATAGTAACTGGAGACACACAAGAGATGGCTCCACCTCCTGCTCTACCTCCTGTCGCACAGACTTTGCCCAGTCAGCCATTAGATGTGCTTTTTATTGAAAGAAGAGGTGAGCTGACTTCAGTTTTATCCAACATTCCTCTGCTCTATAACAGAGAAA